TTTATATCTATATAAATTATCGTTTTTTCACTGCACTTTATACTTTACAAATTTAAAACAAAATCTATTGGTCTGTTTCATCCGACCATGTTTGTGGAGGAACCTCGACATCTTTCGATGTATCCATTTCTGCCAAGCTGTGAAGTTCCTAGTTTAATGAGAGACAATAAGAAGAAAATGAGAGAAAATCAAATAATAACGTACAATAGGTTTCGTTAAAAGTGGTTTCACGTATGCACCGAACTCTTTATAATACGGATTGCTGACGTGAGTTTGCACATCACTCTGTTGTTCATATCGCTCGACAATAGCAAATTTGGTTGGATCTGCTGCATCTGTTTAGAATGAAAAATGATATTCTCTTTTAAATAGAAGAATAACAAATTCTTTTTACCTTGGCTAACGAACCAGTCGATGGTTCCTTTATCCTTGGCATATACACGACTTGCTTCTATTAATTTTGCCTTGACTTTATCCACGTGCTCACTCTTCACAGCTAGATGTACTATAATAGTAAAAACCATTTTGCCAATTGATTGTAATTGAGCGGTATAAAAAGAACACAACGCAAGAAAAAAGTAAATATTTCACGAGCACGCGCACAGAGTAGCACAAAAAATGAAAAATACAATCTTTTTTGCTCGTGTTCTCATACTTTTTGCCGATAACATCGTTATATTATCGTTGCTTGTGCAGAAAGAAAGAAAAAAAATAATAGGAAAGAAAGGCGACAGCAGTGTACACCTCTCACATAAAATTATATCGCTTGTCTTCAATCTCCGGTTATAACCTAGTTGAACATATTATCTGCATCCACACCCACATCTTCAAGATGATGTTAAAACATATATTGAGTTATATTTATTGATACTTAAAAAGATCAACGAGACAATAATAAAAAATTCAATAAACTTCACACATCTCACAACAACAAATAGATAATAGCCAGTATTCAGTGAGTTGTCGAATGATTTATTGGTATTATTTGATTACGACGAGTACATTTCGATAGTGAAAAAAATTGAATGATTTTTTTGAGTTTCGTTCGAAGTTCCGGTAATGAGACAACACTCACAAATGGAGCAAGTAAAGTAACAAAATACGACAGATAATAACTAATATCAAAGAAATCATAATACGAATTATCTCTTATACCGGCTGTATAAACAGTATATAAAATCATTGATGGAAATACTATTATTAAATAAATAGCAGATATAGATAATAGTTGAATTGACATTTTTCTATAGTTTTTCCATCGCATTCTTTGATTGATTCGATATTTACTATACCATATTCGTCCAAAAAGAGCCATACTAAAGATAACAATAATAAATATAGGTACAATATTATGTGCTATACTATCCCACATTCCAAGGAATGCAGTGTTATATGCACAAGCAGAAATACCACATCCTGACGTGGTGAAATCGATCCATGGATCACACGGCAAAACAAAATATATAATAATATAGTATATAAAAGGATACATAGTAACTGTGAACAATGGTAAATAATGTACAAGAAAACGTTTGATTTGTGTAGAAACCAGATTTTGATGAAAAATAAGAATATGTCGTTCAATTGATCCCCAAGCTACTAGTAATGTTATTGATACAAATACAGCATAATCAATATATGTCCATGTCATACAAAAGGCTTCTGTTAATGACAAAGGATGACCAGTGCGATAAAAATCAATGTACCAGACTATGTCAGTCAGATTTAAAAAAACACCGAGAAAGAGTATGAGCATTACTACATGATTATTAAGTGCTTTGCGAAGTACTCGATCAATAAGAAAATGATAAAGACAAAATAGAGCACATAGAACCGATGGAATAAGGAAGATTAAATATAACCAAAAACGAATTATATATGGAATTGCCATGCGTGCTTATGATTATAATCTGAACAGAAAAAAAATGGAAAAATATGTTGTTTTACTAATGATAATAGAGAAGTGAATAGCGATACTCTGATGTTCTTTACATATAAGGCATATCTAAATACATCTGTTTCATTTCTTATTCTCACTTGAACAAAAAACTATTACTGCTGTTTCTAAGTATACTAAGTATGAATATATTCTTCATTATCTTTATACGTATAATAAAAATGACGTTCTAATGCATCAAAGAAAGCCGTGACAGTACTTATGATAATTATCATTGAGTTGTCGAAAATAGAAAAAATATCCATCAAAGTGAAACTTGTTCACCTTCTAATAAAATCTTCTCAAAATAGAAAAAATATTTTTAAGGGCAAAATACTAATTGGTGATATATGACAACTTCATATCCATATCTACCTTTGTAGAACTATATAACTACTTGACTACATTGCTACGCAAATATCAGAAAATTCCGGATGGTAACATTAGTCGAAGAGTAAAATATTATCTATATGCCTTAAAGAAATCTTTTCATAAAATGATACAATTTACATACTTTGAATATATTCTCTGAAATTAACAAAAAATATTCTAAAAAGAACAACATTCACTAGAGATTCAAGCACTGCTAGAGGACAGTATGATATTAATGATAAGCCAATGCAAATGAAATCCCTTGAACAAGCGGCCTATTTGATTAAATGACATAGTTGCTTTTACTTTGCTCACAAACTGTCAAGAAACTGAAGTTTTTTGTGCCAGAAATAATGAGAAAAGTTGATTCGCAATTTTTTTTCAGTAAATTCAAAGAACATTATAATTATAATCAGAATTAGACGAGATGAAAAAGTCATAGGTAACATAATTAATAATGTGCTGGAAAAAATAACTACTTGACAATGTTTGTGTTCTTCCAGTAGAAAAGGTAATGAAAAGGATGAATTCGAGATGTCAGGAGTTTTCATCCGAATAACCTGTACTATCGTGATTAAGTTTGAACATGTTTAGTGAACCCAAATGGATAGAGAATAACTATAGTTAAATATTGATTACATTGCGCGGATCACAAAATGGAAAAAGTATAACAATGGGTGTGGACGTGAATAAATGATTTCTATCACACTGAATTATTTATGTCATTTTTAAGCTCAAGATCTAAGATAAGCAAACAGTTATAGATATGGATTCAGAACTTCTGGAAGTCTTAAGGGCATTTTTGGATAATAATAAATTGATTCTACGATGGAACAGTTGGATTCTTCTTCTTTTAATTCGCATACATATTGCGTAAATAAATTAAAATTTTAAATATCAATATAATGAAATCAAAAATTGTATAAAGTTCTATAAACTAGGAAAATATATAATCACGACAACAATTTTACAAAATCTTTTGAATATTAATTATTCTTCAAATGCAGAACTATTCATAGTTAACAATGATAATCATGAAGAATCACCGAACGATGAAGATGCTAATTTAAATAATCAATAATTTTTTTTCACTGTTTAATCTCATTCTTAGGGTTGGTAGATGTTTATGTTAAGAAAAAAAGATATATACCTACACTCACATCCTTTTCATCGTCTTTGCCTGCTGTCGTTTTTGGTATCTTTGTCTAAAGTATTTTATGAAAACAAGTTTTTTGTTTATTTTTCTTCAAAACTGATAATAATTTCTTGTATACATAAAAATAACTTTAGACAAAGTTTTTTTCACATCAGTATTATTCCATATCCTATCATATGAAGTTATTTTGCATTCATAAGTTATTTGTCCAAACAAGTGCAAAAGTGATACATATTATAGAATTGTAGTCTTGTTGATTATATCCACACTCATACTCTTAGGCTTAATTATATGAAAAAGATAACTTCGTCGTCATAGGAACCACTCGTAAGCTTTAATTTTAAATATAAATAAAAAGCTCAGTAGATTCATATTCGGTGACTTTTCTAACACATGCTGAATAAGAAATACTAAAATTCTTGATTTTCATATTAGATATGGCATGAAACTTTTGAATTTATTGCAAAAAATGTCCGACATCTCACTACAAATTCAGTTGAAATAAGTTTATCAGTTTTTATTATACGGCAATAGAATAGAACAAGTACAACAATTCAATGAATAAAAAACGCTGTGAAGACACGTATTTACTGCAAAAAATACGGTAAATAACGAAACCTAGACCACAGCATACACATGGACTAAGCAGAAGACAAAATGAAGCGTTAATAAGAAACCAGATACATATACCTCGATCATAGGATGGCAGTTGACTACCTTTTTCTTTTAGTTCTAGACTTGCTAAAACAACTAATAAAATAGTCATGTAAAAGCAGCTAAATATTATAGAAACCAGATAATTTCCATATGCCCACCCACGCTCAATAGTATTACTATTTTTCATAAATTCTCGAAAATCAAGAGGTGTCAGTGAGGCTTGTTCAGTTTCAATTTGAACTCGCATTCGATTTATCCATGTATTCATAACTGATCTAGCTTCCATCGGAATTTCGTATATCATACTAGATAAAAATATGCCAATGATTGCAGACACTTCATAGAGTGTTTGACGAAATCGAGATTCTGAATTGAGAAATAACGTTAGAAGTGGACTACAATTGAGAATACTATAGAATAAAAGATGCCTTAGAAATCCTTTTAGTCGATGTTCCAGCGTCGGTGTTTTATCATCTGTTTTAACTAAATAAAATGTGATACTATAGCAAACAAATTGAAGTCCAAAGAATGTTGATGAAATAATTATTACTGCCAATGTCCGTTCAAGAATCAATAAATAAGAAAGAAGTTCACCGATTTCAATCAAAAATGAAATTCCAATTTTGGTTCGTTCATTACGACATAAGGATTTAAGTAGAGTAATTGCACCTATACTCAGAATAATGAAGAAGAATTGACGTTCTTTCATTTCATCCATTTCTTCTGCTTTTTGTGCAAAATAGATACCGAATTGTTCACCCAAATTGAGCACCTCGATAAGAATCGACACTATAGTGACGCAAAGTTCAGCTTTTGTATTAGGCATGAATTCAGTGTATGACTATCTGAAAGAAAAGACATCATGTGATGTATTTATGTAGTATTTCTATTTATATGGCTCTTAATTTCCATCTACCTTACAATGTAGAGTGATGCTCGAAGACAGTTTAATAAGTCCGATATTTATCCTACAGTTATGGCTAACTGCAGCTCGGTGTAGAATGGTGGCGTGAGGCTGAGTTACTTTCGCCCAATTACTAGAGATTAAAATTTCATAATCTAATATTTTGATGAATAGTTAAAAACTAGTCGAAAATTAAATAAGATGGTTATAACGCATCCTTAAGCATTTCGCTATTCTCATCGACAGCTTTTTGTGGGCTCGTTTTTATTTACTCTAAATCCATATCTACATCCTACTGCGCATTTTAAATTGAAAGGATCGCAGCAATTCGAATAACTCATCATTACTATGGTACGGCATACGTTCTGCATGTTCTCGACGGCAATAAAAAGTTCTGTTACTTTTCATACTCAATACTGACATACAAAAAATTGTGCTACTTAAATAAAATAAAATAGGTTTTTTTCTACCTAGTTCACGGAAATACTGAACGATCATACGGCATTAATTATACTATGTTTGAGATCAAGACGTTTTAATTCAAAGTATCAAGCGCCTTCGATGTAAATGCAATCAAAACATAGAGATGAATTCATGTTACAATAGAAACGGGTGGATACTCGTCCTGTTGTATACAGAGGTGTTACTTTATCTTTGTTTTATGAAAAATAAAGACACTTTTTATTTTAAAAATAAAGATAAGAAAATAAAGATAAAGTAAAGAATAAAGATTTTTTTCTGTCGAAACGTACTTTTTTTATTTTCTTAGAGTAGCACACACAAAATTATGATATTATATAGTTAACTATAGTATGGAATAGCATTTTTCGTATATATCGTTTCTTGTATAATCTTTTTTCTGATGATATTGCATGTGGAAATGATGATAATGATGATAAGAAAGAGCTTCAATAAGCGTATTCTGTTGTTATACAGGGTTTCTGCATGAAAAAAAATATATCCTTATTCTTTATTTTAACTTTATTTTCGTAAATAAAGATTATCTTTATTCTTTATGAACTAAAGAAAAAGTAACACTCCTAGATAAAACATTTAGCTAATGCTTTACAAAGTAATGAAGCAGGTTAAGTTTGTTCTTGTTTTAATTCATTATAAATAACAATATTTCGACAATAATTTTATATTTTTATTCAATTTTTGAGAGAATAAACTGAGGTATGAAATATAAAGAATCTAGGCTTTTGACTATTAAATTTTGTATCATCGTAGACAAATAAATAAGTTTGAATGTAATCTATATTTACATCATATCATTCATTCGTAAAGATTATTTCTAATTTATTTCGCTAATATAGACCGATTTACTTGTAAAGAACTATCGATGATTTTGTAGTCTATTATCGATCGGTGTGAATTAAACCTTTTATTATCAAAACGATAACTAATGTTAAATGTGATTATGAAAGTGTATGATCAACAGAGGTTTCATAAACACTTTTTATTACAAACATGATCAAGAATATTATTGAGATTTATTTGTATTTCTGAATGTTATTTTTAAAAATAATCGATCATTTCCTTTTCAATAGGTATAAAGAAGCTTATAGTATAATGATATTGTAACTCAATGATTTGAGTGTTAAAATTACTTACTTTCTAAGTAAGAAGAGAAATAAACAATCAATCAACCATGAGAATGACTCATCTTAATAGTATATCTTCTATCACTCTATTTCATCACATCTTTTTCTTGTTTGATCTGCTTCTTTTGTATCTTTTCTGTTAGTGCAGATTTGCAAAGACCAAGTGTAAAATATTCAAGAGAAAAAAAGGAGACTTCAGGAGTCTGTATTTCACTGATACTTTACTTCTACTTCACGTGTACTTTGCTTGTACTTTAAAAAACATTTTGAAGTAGGTGAAGTCTTGCTTTTTCTCTATATCTTGAAAATATATCAATAGGTAGTTTGTGAATGACTCATTACTAACGACTCTCTTGCTATCGAACCACTAACGTCTGTTTGATGAAGTCACGTATTTTATTGTACTTTTTTCTTGTCCTGTCATTCATGTTTGATGAGAAATACCGTTAAAATTGTCACTCATGATCACTTACGAATTTTGTAACGAATGTTATATTTGCTCTTTTTACGAAACAGGTATAAAAAGGTTTCGCTTAAACATCATCAATATGATATTTCATTACATTTCTTCTAAACACACTCGACCATGGTCAAGCCAGCTGGAATGAGTTTCAAAACAGGTCAACATTATGAACATGTGGCTGCTCGAATGCAAAATTATATAAATTTTGGACCACAATATCACGAACAACAATATCCGCGAGAAATGAGTCATCACCTTCAACCTGTGCCGCATCTCCATCACCGCCACCATCACCACGCTGCTTCACCTTTTGGTATTAATGCTGAAGGTCGAGGCCATCCTATCGTTATGAGTCGAAGACACCAACGTGCGCATTGGCTTCCGTATTGAAGAGGGCATACAATGAACGGTCGATTGGGAAGATTGAGAAGAACGAATGAAGTAATCTTTTTTGATGGTGTTGCATTTCGTTTAGTTGATCAAAACTTTATTTTATTTTGTTTTGATTAATTCAAAAAGAAAAGGAAAGAATATTAGTCAATTTTGTTTTTTTCTAATTTGTTACATTTTTTCTGTAGTTTTAGAATAAACCCAATTGATTATGTGTGATATATTGTAAAAGACAATACTATTGTAGAATGTGGTCTTGAGCATGTGGATGAGTGCACGAGTTAAGACAAGATATAGATCTACACTCTGCAAATTCATTTGAGATAAGTGTATCACCTTTTATTATATGACAATAGAATAGAACCAATATAACAATTTAATGAACAAAAA